AGGTGAGCTGTGGATGGCTGGGTATGGGCAGAAGCAGTGCCATGAAGATTCCCCCAAACAAATGCCTGCAAGGACCGGGCGGATAGCAAATGCTTTATGGCAACGTCAGAAGTCATTAAATAGAAATCAGATATTTTCTATGGAGACTGCCAATCAGTAAAGATTGGAAGATTCTAAACAGATTACATAAGTGGTAGCAGGATTACTTTTATATTCTATGTGGAAAGAACACCCGTTTCCTACAGGACTTCAGAGTCCCATCCTTAAAAACACTGCTACTTCTTTGAACGTAGCCATGGCGCTCTTGTCTGCAGGCTGTGGTACGTCCATTCCGCTGCCTTGCGCAGGGCTGGCTCTTAGCACATGCTTGTGGAACCGAACATACTGAAATGAGTAAGCGGTAAGAATAACCAAACTCATGAATTATTAATTTCATGTCAACTAATAGATCATTTTTAAAATATTTGAGAGAGAGAGAGAAAGAACACACAAGCAGGGGGAGGGGGAGAGACAGGAGAGAGAGTACCAAGCAGGCGCTGTGCTGTCAGCACAGAGCCCGACATGGGGCTCGAACTCATGAACGATGAGATCATGAACCAAGCCAAAATCAAGAGTCAGATGCTTAACTGACTGAGCCATCCAGGCATCCTGTATTTCCCTTTTGCTATGAAAACAGTTACTCTGAATTCTGGGTTTTGGAAAGTGAGTTTAGAAGTCATCTGTTTCAGGATACTTCCCTTTTCTTAACCAAAAATACTACATATTAATGATAAGCATAGACCATTAAATAATGAAAATATGCTTTGATTTCTAAAGATTTATCATTCATACCACAAACGTGACCTTAGTTTAACCCTGGCTCATAATAACCTAAAGACTTCACTTTTACTTTAAATAATGTACAGAGTGTATGTGTGTGCACATACATGCTATTATGGACTGAATGTATGTATCTCCCGCAATTCATATGCTGAAACTCCAACTCCCAATGTGTTCGTATTTGGAGGTGCGGCTTTTGGGAGGTAAGTAGGTTTACATTAGGTTATGAAGGTGAGACCTTCATGATAGTATTAATGCCCTTATTATTATTATTATTATTATTATTATCATTATTATTATTTTTGGTTTATTTATTTGGAGAAAGGGACAGGAGAACATGGGCAGGGAAGGGGCAGAAAGAGAGGGAGACAGCATTCCAAGCAAGCTCCACACAGTCAGCATTGAAGCTCCACGTGGGGCTCAACCCCATGAACCACAAGATCATGACCTGAGATGAAATCAAGAGTCAGACACTCAACTGACGGATCCACCCAGGCACCCCAGTGCCCTTATTAAAGAGGAAGAGAAACCACAGTTCTCTCTCTCTGCATACACATGTACCCAGGAAAGGCCATGTGAAGAGAGGGAGAAGAAGGCCATCTGTAAGCCAGGTCGATGGCTCTCTACCAGAACCCAACCATACTGGCACTGTGATCTTGGACTTCCAGTTTCCAGAACTGTGAGAAATAAATGTCTGTTGCTTAAGCCACCCAGTCTGTGGTATTTTACTTTGTTATAGCAGCCGGGCTGACTAATACACATGCTTAAACACAGGAAGGCAAAACTTGCTGAGGATGTTGCCTAGGGAATAAGCTGGCAATCTCTTAAGAGGGCTCAAAGCAAATATGTTTACCACGTTCTGGGGCAGTGTTTTTCAGTCTTTTTTTAGCCCAGTCACTCCCACAATTGATAAAAATATAAGTTTTACACCTTACTTAATATCACTTGGAATTAAAAACAAAGTAAGCATCTTGATGGAAAGGAAATGGAAACAGTGGGACAAAGAACCACCACATAGTTTCCCAGTCATCCTCCCCTCCACTTCCCTAGCAGTCATGCAAAATCTCATCTCAGCTTTCCTGGCTTAGAAACCCAATTTCATCAGCACTTTGAAGTAGAGCCATCCCCTGGGGCAGAATCACATCACCAGAGCTCACAATCCTGATGTATAACACCAGAAGGTCAAGTCATTAGTTCACAATGGGCAATGTAAACATGACACAGGCCAAGGGGCTTACACCGGAACGCCAGTGCATGCTGTTCCTGATGGTAGACCTCCATGACAAGCTCACCCGAAATGAGAAGGTTACAGTGAGCGTGGACTCAGGACAAGACGCATGAGATCAATCAAATATCTATAGGCATCAGGCTGAGCAGGGCTGATGCATCCATTTCCCCAGTCAGATGATCTTGCCAATAAGGCCATACACGGTTGGCCACAGTTCCCTGCATCCTGCCCCATAACACAAACGTCCCTGCCAGTTCCACTGCAATACTCCAAGGTTCTGGCCACAGCTTCTCTGTCCTCTGGACAGTGTTTGGGTGGGCTTTGCCAATTTTTGCCTCTGTGGCTTCTTTTTTTTTTTTTTTTCTACACTACTTTGGGTGGCCAATTGTTTAGATGTTTTAATACACTTAGGTTACAAAGAAATCTTGCTGTAATACAGCTGTGCTATTACTTATGCTCACTTTGTATATCTTTGTGCAGCATCACAGGCTCATTTTAAAATTTCACTCTCAGAGGGAAGTCTCATTTCTGAGTTCCTGGGGGATGCCTTGCTGTGCCGCTCACACATGACAGTGTAGGTTTCTGTGTGTGTACACGTGCAATTATCTACACGTACATTCACATACCTCCACAGGTATGCTTTCTGTTACTCATTAGAACTTAACCCTTTGAGTGACAAAGCCATCCCACATGCTCCTATTTTCCCCTTAGTTTTTAACTGAACTGTAGAATAATGTGGTTTTGAACTAAAAGCATTCAGCTTAACTAAGATGGTAAATATCTGAAAATACTGCCTGCTCCTGAGAAAGTGTTCAAAGTGTAAGCTACAACAGACCTCCTTTATTCCAGGGCCAACAGCTTCTATGTACGACAAATGCGTTTCAAACAATGGAAATATTTATATCTAAGATATGTGAATTAAATGAGCAGCCTGACTTAGAAAAAGGACTTGAAAGCCCTTTTAGAAATGTCTATCTGATTTGATCACCCTATAAATGCAGAGTGGAAAGCCTGAGTTATGCTCCCTTGAGAAGATCAATAATACTTAGTACAGAAAAGGCTTTCTATCCAGCTGCTGAAGGAAGAGTTGGCTATGGGTCAAAGGGGATTGCAGCCTTCCCCTTAGCTCTTGTCTCCAATAGACCCGTTGTCATCTCGTGCTACTGTGATGTATTCATTACTGATGGACAACTTGCGTGTATGAAGCTGGCATGTTAGCTCCGAGGCTGGAATTACATTTTCCCACAATATTTTTTTTCCCTCCAATGCTTTTATGCCATAAAAGGCTTTTAAAACCATTTAGTCTGGGCAACTGAGATGACCTTCAGTATCATTTACCTCTTGGTAACACCTAACAGAAATCTATTGGGACGCTATTCCCTGGGAGAATTAACAACAGACAACAATACTAAGTTTGTCTGCTTTCCAAGTAGCTCCAGCCCAGGGCTCCTCCATGAAGCGGAACTAGCTCCTGACTGCTGAGCTGCTTCCCAATGGCAGTGTCACTGGGGAGGGCAAAGGACGGTCCCTCCTGGGTGGGTGAACTCTGTCTGCAGCTCTCACACCAACAGGTAGTGACTGACGTACTTAGGCACTAGAGAAGTGTGAGTTCATTTCACACCAGAACATAGTTTATTCCTAGCAGCGGTCACTGCAATGAGCAGAGTTTCCCTTTCTTAGAAATATATGCATGTATTAAATGGCTGAAATCTCACCCAGAGGTTTAAAAAGGAGGCACATGAAAGAAAACCCCCACGACTGTGGTTGTCTCCCTGGAGGTGAACTACTACAGAAGGTACTCTGGCAGCCCTAGCGCTCAGCGGCTAGACTGGGCCCCCCTCCATTCTCCTAGAAGAACAGGGTCTTCTCAACCCAGCCTTTTACCCGGTCCTCATTCTTCGTAGGAAAAAAAAAATCACCATGTCCCTCATTCTCATTCCTCCATCCTTTATTACAGCCAAGTTTGTAGCTTTGGTATGCATCTTGTTATTCTGTGCACTTGGACCTGCCTTGTTCATTTAGTTACGGTGCCCTGTGGGCTCCAGGATTCTAGGACGTTTATTGGAAGCAAACATGGATTGAACACCTGTGTTGTGCAGGGTGCTTGTTTTCCAGCTTAACAGAAACCAGTGTGGAAAGATTCTTTACCAAGAAACTATAAATTGTGATACTAAGAAATTTAAAGCATTGATTTTGATCCCTTCATCTAGAAATCTGTTGCCCCTCAATCACTAGGGAGCTGTGGGTTCTAAAACAATGAAGAAACATATATAAAAAAGAGGCAAGCATTATAGAAAGGGATAGAAACAATCTACTACGAAACCACTAAAAGGGACTTAAATATTTAAACCTACTGCAAATATTCGTATATTGCTATTTTAAGACATTTGGGAGATAGATGATCTGGATTGATTTTTTTTGAGGTTATTTTAATTTCTTCTACTATGACCTGGAATTTCCTCTTAATCTGTGCAAATTAACCTGTTTTTAAGTGATTTACTTCCTTACCTAACCACAGTCCTTTGAACTTTAGTTCAAGTATATTAAAAAAATTAGTCACAGTAGTTACTAGCTCATTTCTTTACTACTGCTAATGGTATTGTTATACGTGCCTCTTATTTTGGAGTATTTGTTACAACATCTGCAGTGGTCACTAACATACTAACACCGTTTCTTAGAATCAGATGCTTCTTTTAGGTTCCCATTTCATTTACTGCTGTCAGCTCCAAGTTTGTGGCCTAGGAGTCGGGAGGCAGGAAGGGAGAGACACTGGGCAATAAGCCAAATCTCCAGCACTAACACTCAGACTTCAAATACTTAGGACTTTTTGTACCTACTTGTTCTGTAGTACTGCTGGTATTCACGAGGCATAGACCTTTAAGGAGGAAAAAAAAAAAAAAAGGAAACCAGAGGCAATACCCCTACCTCTCCCATCACTGGACAACAGTCTCACCTGGTTGGTAGAAGTCCGGCGACAGCTCCCTGGCCACAGCTCTTGCGATGTCACACTCCTGGCGGGCAGCCTGAGCTGCCTGGTCAGCGGCGTCAGCTTTCGCTCGTGCGTGTGCGGTCCTACACGGAGCACAAAGGGCGAGTCAGCAAGGGCGGCACCTTGTTAATCACACAGGGACATGCAAGCTGTCTGCGGTCTGGGGAGAAAAATGCTGTGATCGTGGTCACACGCCTCCAACTGCAAGTTTTATGGTCATATTGTGAGAGATCAATGACGACGACATGGATGAAACCACCCGTATATTGCCTCAGTCCTTTCAAGGGAAATGAAAAGGGTGAGCAAGTTCTGTGCAGCTTGATGCAAAGCCTGGTTTTCAAAACACGGGATCAAATCTCCTGCTGACTCCTGCTGACTGATCAAATCTCCCCTGCTCCAAACCATGGAGAGTAGAGTTAGAGCTTATGAATATATAGTGTTCGTGAATTTAATTTCCTATGGTAGAATCAAAATAAGAATTTGATCGACAAGGGTCTGCCCGATAGCATGCTGGAAAAGTAATTCTGGAAAAAAGTCGTAAAACTCTTTACTTGTGGCACTGATTACCGTGGTATAAATACTCCCTCCTTGACCAACTGAAGCGACCAATGTGATGTCACTGAATGTGTAGCTGGGGAGACACGCACACAATGGGCTCTCACCAGCCTGTAGAAGCAGAGCACAGAATGTGCTCTTAGGAATGTGCTCTGGAGGTTCTAAGGAGCCCATTTAACTTTATGTAGGTTTTTGTGTGAAACAAGGAGACAGAGTTGGGGAGGAAGAAACAGATGTCTTTCAATCTTCTACCTGCCCCTTGGCCCATCCTCAACTGACAAAACCTCTTCTCTTTCCAGAGGACTAGGGTGAGGGAGAAGGCAGCTGGGTAGAGAATGGCGGGGGTGGGGTGGGGTGGGGTTCTTATGGCAAGGCAGGAGAACTGATGTCCACCTGCCCAAGCAGAGAGGATTTAGAGGGCAAGACGGGGAACTCTGGGTCATCTCCTTCCAAAGATCTTGTCCAGTTAGTATTTAGATGATAGTCATGGGCATCTATTTCTTAGAATTCTGTTAACCTTCCATCCTATTTTACTAGCACCAGGCAGGGCTGTAGATAACTAGTAGTAAAAGCTAAATGGAAGTCTGAAAGAGGTGCTTGTGCTTATTTCAGAAACAGCAGGAGACGAAAAGTTGGGAAATAGCATTGTGCCCTAGCAGTTCTTAGTGGGGAAAACGCAGGTGGCAGCTGGTGCAGGCCAGCTGGGACTAGCTGCAGGAAGGACGTGGGGAAGATGGGGTCTGACCTGAGACGGGGGTGGGGGCTCACTGGCAGGAGGTCCCGTTCTCAAATTCTCCAACTACCTCCTCTCATTCTGTGTCCTCAGGGGACCCCTCACTCCTCCGCAGGACTTAGCGAAGCTTGGAGGCTGGCTGTACTAGGATGTAAGCTTCCCAAAGACTGGGATTTTACATTTCTGGTTCTCTGCTAGATTCTCAATGTGTACAACACTGCCTAGCACACAGGGTTTATTGGGGGCTCATTTTATGAATAAAGGATTGAATGATGCTTCCTTAGGAACATCTGGGTAGTTGCTTAAAAATGAACAGATTGACACAACCATAAAGCCAGTAAGAAGATCAGTGGTGGCCAAGGCTTCAGGGCAAAAGTGGGGGAGGAATGAAGAGGTGGAACACAGGAGAAACTGAGGGCAATGAAACTACTCTGTATGACATGTGACATTACGCATGTGTCAAAACCCACTAAAGAAGAGTGAGCTCTAACGTCAACTATGGACTTTAGATAATATGTCAATACTGGTTCAACCGTACCAAATGTACTTCTCCTGCAAGATGTTAATAATAGGGGAAACTGTGGGTGTGGGGAGAGGAGGTATATATACATGGGAACAAACTCCATGCTTTCTGCTCAATTTTTCTATAAATTTAAAACTGCTCTAAAAAATAAAATTCACCAATTAAAAATGAATGGATCAACTTCCAATCATCAAAATTGTTATTTCTGAATCATAGAGGACATTTTAGGTTATAAGGGACCATGAAATGGAAACAAAATTAACGGTTAGTCCCCGTGTTGAGTCTGAGAATCAATGGATGCTCTGTGTTATGTTCTTTCAGTTTCTCAGAATCCCCAGCCCTTTTTCTCAGAATTATTTTCCATTTTATCTATTCTTAGATAGAGCCTAACTATGTCTGGGCATCATAATTAATGAAGCCAGAAGAGTACAGTTATGCTGCCTTATAATAAAATCTGCTAGTCCTTCAATGATAAATCTGTAAACCTAAGTACAAACAGTTTATTCTGATACTATCACAATGCACCACCATAAAATGGTACCATTTATCTCCACCACTTTTTACAATATGCTAAGCTGGAGAATAAACAGATATAGCTTAACCTTTCTACAAATATATTTTGGAAGTACAGTGTCAGTAAAGCCGTGACCCTTTACTTTTTTACTTGCTCCTTCCTGTAAGCCCAAACAGGGAGGGGAACCTTTCCATCTAGTGCCCCACCCTGCATCAAGGCTCCTGCACAGCCAGCAAGATGAGTCAAAACCACATTCAAAACCTAAACGAGAGGCCTGCGTGAGTGCTTTTGGTAGCCCTGGACCCAAAGACAGGAAGCAGAAAAGGAACCCATCTGAGTTTGCTGTCACTACCAGCTTGGGGTGGCCAGGCCACTGACAGGTCTAGATATTAGCCCGGGGAAAAATCCGGGCTTAACTCTGGCTCATGTTAGTGAATTCATGTGTTCAAACCCCAGGCTCAGTTCCAGAGCCACACACAACCCCTTTATTCAGCCAAGTGGTAAGACATGCCATTGTTCATGGGTTGGGGGGGTGGGGGGTTCAGGCAAGTTGGTCTGGGGAGGTCAGCTGAAACAATGCAAAGTGGACGCCTTGCTGCTGTAGCTGGTCACATGGAAAACACACACACACACACACACACACACACACACACACACACACACACACGGAGCACACATGCCCAGTAAATCTTTCACATATTCAAACACTGCTGATATCTGTAAGTGGTCAGACCCTTACCAATCTCAAAACACCATGATCACATACACTCGCTCCCATAAAATGCAGTGAAAAGTAAGTAGAAAGCAACTTCTTTCAGCTGGGCATCAGCTGTCGACTTTCTGTTAGGGCCATAATTTTACAAATAGACCCACAGTTTTAGCTTGTAGAGAGTTACTATGTATGGGTGAAGAGGCAAAGAGACCTGAGAGGCTGGCTAAGCTCACACAAGCAGCTGGGTGATGTCCCCCTGGACATAAGCCCCACAAAGGTCATGTGTGAAAAGCCAAAATGGTAAATGTGAAATTTCCGGATGTGAGGCATCCCCTGTATACAGGTACTTAATCTCAACCTATTTTTCCAATCAGTAATTTGATGATGAATATCGGAGTTTCTTTCTTTAACAAAATAGTTTTTTCACAAACTCTCAAGTCACCGTGCTCAGAACAAAATAGTCCTGCTTTCCTGATTTTTCTTAAACCTAGTAATGCTTTTACACACACACAAAAGTCTATCGACAATATATTAAACACACCTGGCATATACTCACTCCTGCTAAGGTAACATGCTGACCGCTTAGATGTCTGTCCCAACTTCTAACTTCAACCTTTCGCTCATCCACTCGCTGACACGGCTGATGAAAATTTTAATTTAGAATGGACAAACTGTATACCACATTTACAAATTTTGTTCTTTCTGCTTTTTATATATTCTCTCCCCAACAGTAACTGCTTTTTAAAAAATGTGGATTTTGAGGTCTTTTAAAATTTGTTATATTAAATCAAAGTCAGCTCACTAATAGGATTTAAAATTTGATGGCAGAGCCTATGATCTACTTGGTTCAGGGGTCATACGTGTGATTTGCCTTGATGTCCCAACATTTAAAGAAGATTATTAGGAAAACTTTAAAATGAGAGCAACTGTGCATTAAGAATCCAAATCTCAGGTGATGGCAACCCCATTCTTCCAGTTCCTGAAGCCTACACCCTTGGAGTCACCCCTGAGGCCTCCCTTTCGGTCACACGCCACAGCCACAGTCAGCAAATCCAGCTGGAACTACCTCCAAAACACATCCTCAATCCAGCCGGTTCTTGTTTGCATCCCTGCGCCTGGTCTGGTCACAGCCACCGTCTCCCACTGGGGCTACCACAGAGGCAGAACAGACCCTGCTTCTATCTTTACTGCCGACCATCCTATTTCCCTTCTGGTTCTCTTGGAAATGCCTGATAAGAGCTAAAACTCTTTCCTGGGTTAAGACATCATGGTAAGAAAATGCAACAGATATGACCTGTTAGCCTTCCTTTTGGACTGTGACCTTATTCATTTACAAGAGACCCAGATTTGTGAAAGCCAATCATCTTGTGTATATAATTGTAGTCCTTTTTAAGAAGAAATCAGTCTGTTAAGGAATACTCCTGACAGGAATAACAGTGAGGTGACTACACAGACCTCGGCTTAAAAATGAGGCATGATTTCTGAGTTATTGCACCCGGAAGAAACTGTTCTTTCAATCTTGATTTGATTCTCTGATAAGACCAGCCTGGCAAGGCTCAGCATATACTCCCTCCTGCTAAGGTGCAGGCGGGCCCCTTAGATGCCTGTCTCAACTTTTTTTTTTTAATGTTTATTTTTTGAAAGAGAGAGAGACAGACAGACAGAGTGTGAGTGGGGCAGAGAGAGGGAGACACAAAATCCGAAGCAGGCTCCAGGCTCTGAGCTGTCAGCACAGAGAGCGACGAGGGGCTCAAACTCACAAACCACGAGATCATGACCTGAGCGGAAGTCCCAATGCTTCTTTTCCTAAAAGTGATAGCAAGTGATTGAGACATAAAATGTAAACGAAGGAGCATGATATTCCCATTGAAGTTTGGTATTTGATCTTTCAAGGGCTCAAACTTTCTCAGAGGTGTGATAACACCAGCTTTGAAAGCATTATTAGCCAGAGACTACACTGAGGCAAGTCTAGGCCACAGATGATTCTTGTCCCAGAGATCAAAAGTCAAACCACACCTCCTTAGCTATCATAGAAATCCCTTCATA